GGTCAAAATTGGGGGGTGGGGGGCTCATGTGGCCCCCTTGAGACCTGCCAATGAAATCTGCAGGTAGGCTTTTAGGTGCCCCTTACCTTCTGCCACATTAAAGTCCCAGTCAGACCTTGTCAGTAATCTGTTAAACTCTACCTCCACAGTCACCTGGCAATAGCCAGGTATGCTCCTCCCCACAGTTACCTGGCAACAGGCAGGTAGCCCTGCCCACTATAAAAGGGGCTGCCTGCCCCCTCCTCACTCTCTTAGCCCCATGACCCAATGTCTGCAGGTTGCCCTCTCCCCTCCCCCCTTCCCTTCCCCTCTCCCTCCACTCCTCTACCTCTCTGCTCTCCCTCCTATCTCCTGAATAAACTCTGGTCTGCTGTGATCTGTCCAAGCTGCAAGAAACCCCACTGTTGATGACAGCCTGGTCATTGATGGTGCCCCCATGTCTGAGGGAACATTCTTTCCGGTATCCTCCCTTGCTCTTGATGGCCAGAACCTATAAGGTCTTGGAAAAGAAAGGCTTTTATGGGTGGGGGGGGTCCTCTACTAGATTCATCTAGGTAACTATATAGGGCACTTGGTCTGGGTGCCTGAGGGATCCTGGTCTAAAGACTCTTTCCTCTACTGCTTTGATCACCTGTATGAACGTTTCTATTGACGGATACCCTACTAGGAGGTGGGGCATTGAGAGAAGGAGAGAGTAAATAACTTGCCCTTCTTTACTACAAATGAGTATTTGCACCAAAACAGAGGCCTATTCTTTTGGCTCTCTGACTCAGGGCAGCCTGTAATTTTTCACAGCAGGTGACCTACCTGCAAGCAGTTTGTCTCAGAGGTACCCCACTAGAGTCATGTGACTTGTCTCAGAGCTACTAACTCACCTTTTTATAAATAAAAAATGTATAACTGTAATTGTCAAGTGAACAATCTTATATTTCTTGTGAATTTTTGCCCAAAACTGGTATGCCACCTGAAAAGGGTGGTAAGTTGAAAAGCTGTGGCTATACCTGGACCACAATGTTCTCCCACCAGAAGTGGCCAGCAGCCAAGGTCCCTGCAAGCAGCAGGTGGGAAGCCCCTTGCAGGCACTTTTGGGACTTCCGGGACCCCTGCGGAAATTGGTGCTGCAGAGTCTGGTGACACTGTTGCTGTCTCTGCATGACTCCAGTCAGGATGCTGCTGAGGTCAGTGTTCTGTCCCATAACTGTCTCATCCAGTATTTCCCCTCCTACCTAGTGGCCTCTCTGAAGGTTTCATGCTAGGGACAAGAACCTCAAGGACCTTTAGGTCCAGGTCTTCCCTT